ACCCTTAAATTACACTGAGTCTTCAATTACACCGAACCGTCAATTACACTGAGCCTTCAATGACACTGAGCCTTCAATGACACTGAGCCTTAAATGACACTGAACCTTTAATGACACTGAGCCTTCAATGACACTGAGACTTTGATGACACAGAGCTTTTGATGACAATGAGCCTTCAATTACACGGCCCCTTCAATTACAGAGAGCCTTCAATGACACTGAGTCTTCAATTACACCAAACCTTCAATTACAGAGAGCCGTCATTGACACTGAGCCTTCAATTACACTGACCCTTCAATTACAGAGAGGCTTCAATGACACAGAGCCTTTAATTACACTGAGCCTAAAATACACAGAGCCTTCAATTATACTGAGCCTTCAATAACACTGAGACTTTGATGACACAGAGCTTTTGATGACACTGAGCCTTCAATTACACTGAGCCTTCAATGACACTGAGCCTTCAAAGGCACTGAGCCTTCAATGACTGAGCCTTCAATGACACTGAGCCTTCAATGACACTGAACCTTATATGACACTGAGCCTTAAATGACACTGAGCCTTCAGTGACACTGAACCTTCAATGACACAGAGCCTTCAATGACACTGAGCCTTCAGTGACACTGAGCCTTCAATGACACTGAGCCTTCAATGACACTGAGCCTTCAATGACACTGAGACTTGGATGACACAGAGCTTTTGATGACACTGAGCCTTCATTTACACGGACCCTTCAATGACACTGAGCCTTCATTTACACGGACCCTTCAATTACACAGAGTCTTCAATTACACCGAACCTTCAATTACACTGAGCCTTCAATGACACTGAGCCTTCATTTACACGGACCCTTCAATGACACTGAGCCTTCATTTACACGGACCCTTCAATTACACTGAGTCTTCAATTACACCGAACCTTCAATTACACTGAGCCTTCAATGACACTGAGCCTTCAATGACACTGAACCTTCAATGACACTGAGTCTTTGATGACACAGAGCTTTTGATGACACTGAGCCTTCAATTACACTGAGCCTTCAATGACACTGAGCCTTCAATTACAGAGAGCCTTCAATGACACTGAGTCTTCAATTACACTGAACCTTCAATTACACTTAGCCTTCAATGACACTGAGCCTTCAAATATGTGGAACCTTCAATTACACTGAGTCTTCAATTACACCAAACCTTCAATTACAGAGAGCCGTCAATGACACTGAGCCTTCAATTACACGGACCCTTCAATTACAGAGAGGCTTCAATGACACAGAGCCTTAAATTACACTGAGCCTAAAATTACACAGAGCCTTCAATGATACTGAGCCTTCAATGACACTGAGACTTTGATGACACAGAGCTTTTGATGACACTGAGCCTTCAATGACACTGAGCCTTCAAAGACACTGAGCTTTCAATGACACTGAGCCTTCAATGACACTGAGCCTTCAATGACACTGAGCCTTAAATGACACTGAGCCTTCAATGACACTGAACCTTCAATGACACTGAGCCTTAAATGACACTGAGCCTTCAATGACACTGAGCCTTCAATGACTCTGAGCCTTCAATGACACTGAGCCTTCAATTACACTGAGCCTTCAATGACACTGAGCCTTCAATGGCACTGAGCCTTCAATTACACAGAACCCTCAAATACACTGAAATTTAGATGACACAGAGCCTTCAATGACACTGAGCTTTCAATTACACTGATACTTTGATGACCCAGAGCCTTCAATTAAACTGAGCCTTCAATGACACTGAGCCTTCAATTACACTGATACTTTGATGACACAGAGCCTTCATTTACACTGAACCTTCAATTACACTGAGATTTTGATGACACACAGAGCTTTCGATGACACAGAGCCTTCAATTACATCACAGGCCACTTGTGGCTTCTGGGACTCGCCAGCATGTTTGGGACCACCTTAGAGGACCGTCGTAGACTCGCACCAGTGGAATGCCCACTAATCTGGCCATTTCGGATCTTGAAAGTACCAGCAGGACTCGAGGATGACAAGAAAATAAACAGTCTGCCTGAAAAAACATCAACAATTCTGACTTTTCTGAATCTGACTCCACTGGTTGGCCTCGAAAACAGGCTGACTTATCAAATTTCTCCTGGGCTATGTGTAAACTAAGGAAAAGCTTCATCTATCGACCCCTCCCCCCCAGAACTTCTGCAAAGTTTTATCAGAACTGTGCCGGCTGACTAACATCTTATCAGGGCTATGGTCTATCTGGAAGTGCTTCATAGACAAATCTCACCGTCTTGCCATCAAATGCACATGTAATGTGTTATAAATGTTCTTACTGGTAGAGGTTTTTTTTTAGGTCTTAAATCATGTCCTGATAAGGACAAGGTGTGAAGAGATCTTTTTTGTAATACCACTATCCATCCTCATGGATTTTCTCCCTTTTCTACATAAAAAAGTATTCTGAAAAAGAACAAGGGGCTGTGCTCCTGTAGCAGCAGCAACGTGCACTCCGCCCATTTTTCAGACGACTGTTCGAACATAATCTCACTGTATTTCGGTACAATGATAATAAAGCTTATTCTGATTCTGATTAACGTTGTGGCATGAAAGGACAGAGGTGACATGCATTTCTTCAAGGAATGCCAGGCCTTCCTTCATCTGTCCCTTCTGAGTGGATCTCCAGTAAGGCAGTGTTTTTCTGAAAAGAACATGACTTGAAGAACGTGCCCGGTCATTCAGGATCTTTTCAGAAGTTAGACCTGAGCTGAGATGCTGCCTATTCCACTACTGTTAACACAAAACAGTGTCACTGTGCACTCTGATGCACAAAGAGTTAGCAGCTCTAATGACAGGAGAAGGTGACAAGATAGAAGAAGAAGTTAAGCCAGTTCCCACCAATAATGCAGGTTGCAGAACCGGTGATCCAGTCTGCTTTGCTTTTTGTGGTTCTGAGTTCACGAAACATTTTAGCAAACTCATTACAAGAAAAAATGATGAAAAGAAGCATTCCTTGATGGAACGCATATCACCCACTGCATGCCAGAGTTTGAACTAAGATGTGTGATCTGTCAGAGTGCAACTCACACCAAATAATTTACCGTAAGCTCTTTATTACACATATTTCAGCTTGCTGTGGTAGATTACCGTAGCTGTGGTGGTCATCTTGATTGCAGTTGGCACACATTTAATTTGTTGCAAACACAGACAATTACATTATAGCCCGCAAACATGAAGGCAGGTGGTGTCAAGATTACAGCCAATCCTCACCTCTTCATATTTGCGATCAGCCTCTTCTGCAATGTGTTTGGCTTCTTTCAGCTGAATCTCCTGCAGCTCCATCTTCTCTTCATCCTTCAAAGCCCTGTTCTCGATCACCTTCATCCCTCTGCATAAAAACACAAAGCTTTACTCATCCTTGCTCAGTGCAATTATTGTTTTACAAAAAATAAATGATTAGAAAAGTGTTGATTTTGAGGCTTGAGCACCAACGGCAGTGTGCATTTTATTGTGTGGTATCTACAGTTAACAAGTGCAACATATATTGTTGAGATACATCCTACAGAGCACACACCATGGTATATACGCTGCACACATAATTTTCCTACCAAGCTATGGAAGAACAAGAAGAGTGCAGTCAAATGAAGCAGTTTTTTATTCTCAGTCAGGTTTTAGACCACAGGCGGTCAAACATGACCCTTGGACAAAACCCCAATATACTTAACTGAAAAGAAAACAAGTTTTAAATAAGTTGATGAAACTTAATACCACTGCTAATAAAATTTTGTCTAAATTAAACTTCTTGGACAAATACATCAAAACAAAAGCATTTAGATTATTAAGATAAGCAAATACTTTTCTTCTAAGCTGCAGTGTTTCCAGAATTAGACTTAACCTTAAAAGACTCTAGAAAGCAAACATGTAACTAAAAAAAAATTGGGGGTATATTTTAAAATAACAAATCTTTTGTCACAAGATCCAGTTTACAGTAAGTACTATGTCTTATGTTCCTAAAGAGTATTGGGATAAATATTTTATCAAGCTAATGATGCTACAAGAAAAAAACTGAACAAAATTCTTCCAAATAATCCGTCTTCAAGAAAACTTATTTTCCAATTCTCTAAGAGGCATTTGATGATTGCATTAAATTGCATCTTAATTTGCTCTCTAGAACCCTGTATTGCCTCTCCTGGTTGAAAATGTCTCCACACATGGTGTCATCTCAATGTACTCCCTCTGGTCTCAAACCACAGCTCACTCTGCTAAAGTGATTAACGAATGAGTCAAGTTGAAGGAACGTTACCTCTCGCTCTCATCAGCTGCTTTCTCAGCTTCTTCCAGTTTCTGCAGAGCCGTTGCCAGTCTCTCCTGAGCTCGGTCCAACTCCTCCTCCACCAGCTGGATGCGTCTGTTTAGGGACGCCACTTCTGCCTCAGCCTGAGACAGAGGACAGAGACACTCATTCAGACTGTGTATCAGCTCTATGGGTCTCAGGGAGTCACCACTTTAAACAGGAACATCTGAGTTTTCTGACACTCACTGGTCACTTTCTCCAGAGGGGTCAGTGGTTTGGACATGTCAAAAGGAGGGACAGTGGTTTGGACATGTCCACAGGAGAGACAGTGGTTTGGATATGTCCAGATGAGGGACAGTGATTTGGACATGGCTAGAGGAGGAACAGTGGTTTGGACATGTCCAGAGGAGGGACAGTGGTTTGGACATGTCCAGAGGAGGGACAGTGGTTTGGACATGTCCAGAGGAGGGACAGTGGTTTGGATATGTCCAGATGAGGGACATTGGTTTGGACATATCCAGATGAGGGACAGTGGTTTTGACATGTCCAGAGAAGGGACAGTGGTTTAGACATGTCCAGAGAAGGGACAGTGGTTTGGACATGTCTAGAGGAGGAACAGTGGTTTGGACATGTCTAGAGGAGG